ACAAAATACCTTTTTCTCTAACTGATTTCATACTAAAATAGGAATACGTAGAACCCAAATCAATCAAAAGTAATACAAATGCATCTTCTACTTTTATTTCATTTAACTAATGATATTCTATATAAGACCACATAAAATATTCTTTCTTTAAACTTTTAGCGGACACTTTACTTACCACTTATCCTTGCTCTCTGGCCGTAAGGATTTAGTCTTTAATCTATCACTTAAGATTAACTCAAACCATACATTTCTTTAAGCAACTTAATACTCAACTTATATACTTTTCAAAAATTTAAACAACTTAGTAACACTAAAATCATCACTAGATTCAATAATCTCCGTATTCTCTTTAGTCTTAAATACCTTCTAACATTTGATAGATTTCTCTAATTCATTAACCACATTAAGGGCGGGGCATTTCTTCGACAAAATAGAGGATAATCTCTTATAGCTCCAACCCTTTTAGGGCGAATTACTAAAGTTTTCTCTGGTTTGTTTGAATCAATTACCATCTCGATCTTCTTTTTATCCTTATTAGGTTTATTACCCTTGTTTTTAGCTTCATCCTGAAGCTCAAAATTGATCGTTCGAGACAATCCTTCTTCTTTCAACATCTAACACAACAACATTTCAAAATTATGTTAGTAAGGAGAAAATCACTAACCATACCAAGTCAATAATTTCGAAATCATAGTGGCATGTATTCCCTTTCAACATAAAACATACTTGGTTTAGGCCAAGAAACGGCTAAACCTATAGCTCTTATACAAATAAATGTAACACCATTTACCAATATGCGTACTTAATTATGAGTTAAAGATGTCACATTGACTTTTTATAACGTTCCATACAAGAAAACTAGTAAAATTTTGTTTCATTTTAAAATTTCAATTTATCTATTACAACTAATTTAGTTAATTGAGTAAAAACATAAAAGAATATTTTATCATCCAATTTAAATTAGATTTTAGGCAACACCTAGGTAGTACAATGCTATTTCTCTACATATATAAAATTGCCAAAATACTACCTAATTTATGTATCATTCAATTACCCTTTAAATTACGTCTACTACCAACCATTTTAGGTTAATCTATCAGAGCAATTCAAAACATTTATAATATACATGCCACTAATGAGAAAATATGCCTTATGATATTGTAGGTTTGTTTGATTTCATAAGAAGAGATGCTCTAAGTACTCCTTACTTCACGTACTTTTCTTTATATGAACCTATGCATTAAAAATATCACGCGCTAAGTAAAACTTAATGAGACAGTAACACAACTATGGTGAGATAAAACAAAAAATATCATAAAAACTTTCAAATCATTAAAATGAAATTTAAATAAAATCATTTAACTTTCAAACCAAGCTATTCAAGCATTTTTCCTCTTCAGAAACCTGAAAATCATCATCTCATGATTTTATCAAAATCATGTAAATCAATATCAAATATAACAATGATTCTATATTCTTTTTTCATTCGAACACATTTCAAAACTTTCATATTTTATTTTCATATTCTTTCTTTTTCAGATACTTTTCATAACTTTCACATTTACTTTCATAGCCTAATTTATATGTAAGAGAATACAAGGTACGTGAGTCATACATTAATGTGCGCACGAAGCACCAACAGTGTCAATCCTCGTCATCATAATATGCACTACAAAGTGCAGTCCTATCATTTGCACCAACGGTGCCATACATAATGTACATGAATGTACCTTATCGGAATCAAACTTTACTTTACTTTACTCAAATTCCTGGCATGTCAAGTATACATACGACTCTCAATGCAACATACAATGGGCTTTTCTATCATATTTTATTTGTTTAAATCAAACATTTTCATTCAGATCATTTTGAACATATCCTTTATTAAAAACAAGTACTTGGGCAGTTCATACCCTAAAATAATTCAAAAAATATTTCTGAGATCATTAAGAAAATATTTCATCATTAAAATTCAAATCATTCGTTAAAATCATTTTAGAAAATGCATTCAAATATATTTTTCATAAAATATCATATATGGGTAATTCATACCCAAAATAAATCATAAATCATTTCAGCAACCATTATGGAAATATTCCATAATCTGAATCAAACTTTTATTTAAAAATAAATCATTCGAGGTGACTTATCGCAAGTCTTCCTCAATCAGAATAATAAAATAAATAAATGCACTCACCTTTGCCTCACTACTGAACCTATAATATGATATTATTTTATTCAATTGCTTTGTCCCTCGCTTTCGTATCACTAAGATAACAAGATTTGTCGTATTGCGTACAACAACACATTCGTAACAAAGTATTCAAACTATATGTTAGTATTATACTAACGTAATCTAATTACGTTAAAATAAATTCTATAAACGTAATCGATACTAAATCGATATATAAAACTAAATAAAAATTCCATCATAACTTCAAACTTTCCAAAATAGCTATTCGATTTAATAAATATTCATTTCCATCATCAATCCTTCAACTTTCACAAACTTTACATTTAAATCACCATTTATAAATTCTTTTTTAGAATTCACATAAACTTTTCCATTTAATTGGAAATGGTCCTTCACCATTTTACTTATTCTAAATCAAACATTAAAAATTCCATCATATAGAGAATGTACCCAATTCAATACATTAACAATTGAAAACTTGTAATTTCATCCTTCATTTTCCTAGCCTTTTCGAATTCAATCATTAACTTTAGCAAACTTGAAATTTGATCCCAAATAAATACCTATACTTGAAATTCAATGCTCAAGTAATACGTTCCAGCATTTTAGTATCATACTCAAATGGTACCCTTACATTTAACAAAATTATAATCCAGTCCCTAAATCCCACGACTATTCAAATTCCACCTTGAAATTTAACCAAAATTTGCACTTTGATCCTAAATCAACATTCAAACTTATCAATCAGCATCCACTAATTAAATTTCAGCATTGAATAACCCAAATTACACATTTATACATCAATGTCTTACAATTCTTAAAACTTGTAAAATAGCCCTTTTTCTAGCTCAAGGTTCCAAATTGATCCAATTAAATCTCCAAAGCTTGTAGAACACATCTAATATCAATTCTAAACCATAGGAATTTTTTCAACATTTTCCCCATAATTTCTTCCCTATGGTCGAATGTCCTTAATGATATAGGGCAAACTTTTTTATTCAATTTCAAGCAAGAATTCATCTTCTAACATCTAATTCATGTTATTCCAATCACCCTAACATTAAATTCAATCAAAATTAAATCAATCCTCATAAACCCTAATATGGTTGAACCTTGTATATGGCTTTACAATTGATTTTAATCATCACTCATGCTTTAAAATTAATCTACAACATCAATAACATAAAAAACTTCCATCAAATCTTCAAAAGTAAACATATTCTTCAACCACCCAATTGAAGAATCTCAACATCTAAGCATGATTTCCATGTAATTTTTATACCAAATGATAGAGAATTTCAAGAGGATTAATTCTCTATCTAATCGCTTAATCTAAACATCAACCATAGAAGCTTAAAAATCAAAACAAAATTCTCACATTTGGGAGCTATGGTGTTTCGGGACTAGTAAGAAGAAATAGCTGAAAATTTTTCCTTTATCTTGAATTTAAAATTCAATTAATGAGAAATCACACTTTTACCATTAATGAAACATGATAATTACAACTTGCCATTGGAATATCTTCCATTAAAATATTTTTACAGTCAAAGATGAACAAATTTGATGTTGACTTTCTACTTTACCTATTCAATTTTCAAAAATTACAATTCAGTCACTAAATTTTCCTAATTTAGCTAAATAAGGAAATTAACTTCAATTCCACTAATTCATGCTAAATTTCACTATTATAAAATATGGAAATAATATTCCTAAACTTTATTTAGCATCCTTCAAATTTTCTTGAAATGCTGGTTCGATCCGACAATCCGATTTCTTATCAGAATTTAATGCTTTATTGCTTTTAATACAAATCCCAAATCAAAATTTTGATTCTCACAAAAACATTTATTTTGGGACAAACTATTCATTCACGGGCCAAAATATATAACTTTTAAAAATTTAATTTTTGGTCACTAAACTTTTACAAGATTATACTTTAGTCCCTAAACTTTCAAAACTTACATTTTTGTCACTACCCAAAAATTTGAGTATTACACCGGGTGAGTTTTTGGACGTGCTTAAAAATGCCGCTATAAGCCTAAAAAACATTGTGAAAAATCTGTTTTGTTGTAGTCAATTGTAACGTTCAGATGAAATGTTGGATGTTTTAATTGTTATATCCCAATCATTTATACGTTTATCATTAAGTACTAAAGTAGACTTAAACTATGATTGAAGGACCAAATACGATATTCTCCATTAATTTAATGTGTTACATTATCCTTTCAACCATAATAAAGACATAATGCCTATTTTATGAAAAAATTTAAATTTTAGTATTTTTTATTACTTTTAAAATTTCAATGCCTAAAGTCAATAATCTCTAGAGCATATTGTTAAAAGTTTTCCGTTACATTTTCCATCTCCCATAAGTTATGGATTCAGTACTTATTAATAACAAAATTTCTCTTTTCCTCCCCTAGATAGAAATTATTCAAAAGAAATTTAGTGTCTAAAAAATATTTTACTATAATTTAATTTTTATTTTTAAAAATTCAGCTAAAATTTAATTAAAATTTATGGGAAAACTATTTTATAATAATTTTATACTATTAAAAAATGATCATTTTTAGAATTTATCCAAAATTTAATTAAAATTGGAACGAGTATACACCACTTTCTTCTTGCTTAGTAGTTAAGGCGTTAAGCAAGCTGACCTGGTATCCTAACTCGGTGCCAACACGACGCCGCTTTCACTCCCACGTCACGAGCAGAAAATCAAACTAAAATCATATTATCTTTTTTTTTTTTTTAAATTTCGCGAAGAAAACAAAAGTAAACCCAAAGAAGAAGAAAAAACATCTGGCGTTTCTATTCCAACTTCCAATTTATTATTCATTTTCAAGTTAATTTACATTTTCGGGCGACAAAAATTAGATTTAAGCAGTTTACCATGTGGGTGGAGATCATCTGTGGATTTATCTTTTACCGCTTGTTCCGCCGCTTCTTCTACGGCTCCGACGACGTTTTGGGCTTGGAAACCTCTGATTTCAATGCCATTTTCTCCGTCGCTAATAGGTACTACTTTTTCAATTTCAACTTTTTTTTTCTCTAATTTCGTTCTTTTTATTGTTATTTTAATGATTTTTCTAACTATTTTTTAAAAACAAAAGAGTGGAACTTCATTGATTTTAGTTGAGGTTGTTACTGAGCTGAGCTTGATTGTGTAAGTATTAGGCTGTTATGGTTTGTATGGTTTCATGGAAAATTGAATTCTTAGAAAGATCTTTCTAGTAGTAGTCATTTCTTTCCGATGGAAATAGTTGTGAATTTACTCTTCGTTTGTTGTTGCTCTTTTTTTCTTTTCTTTTAATTTCTCTCGGGTTCTGAAGTGAAACGGAAGAATGGGTTTGAATGCGAACATTTTAAAATTAATATTTTAAATCTTCGTAGTAATGAAGTCCATGATTTTACTATGTAGAGTGGGAACAATTATTGTTGTTAACATGTAAATGTTGCTTTTTTCGTTGGTATAGCCAAAAAAAAAATCAAGTAGCAGAAGACCAATCACAAATTATCTTAGGTTACTTTGTTAGTTTATTTGCGACCAAAATTGACATTAGCAGAGTATTTTGGCAAATCTATGGGGCCGTTATCAAATTCTCTCACTTTTTTTTTATTAACTTCTTCTTTTGATGCAACTTCATTGTAGATTGAACAACTTTATGGTGGCAAGGTGTATGTGGGGCTTCGTATTCCAGTTGCTGACATATCGATATTGTTCATATTACTAAAGGGTAATGTGTTTATGCTTTTTCACCTTCATTGCATTTTCATAGAAAATTTTTAAGCGTCTATTGTTTTCTTATTTTCATTTTTGGTTCGTGTTGCAAAGATAAGACTGTGTTATCACCGGAGTTCTCCTCGATGCTCATTTTCTGGTGCTTTTTTAATTTTACTTTTTGAAATTTAATTCATTTGTGCAGAGAAGCAGCGGTTATTTCTGTCAAGAATCTAGCAGGCTTCGTTTCTGTAAATGAGGATGGTAGCTGGACTACTGATGGTGGCAGTACAAGGGCTGTGTGTCATCCTGATCCTGTAAGTCACCATGTTTATATCTGCTTCTTCAGGAACTCAATGTATGTGGTATGTTTAGGGTTGTAAATGAACTGAGCTTGAATGAACGTACTTTTGTTCATGTTCGTTTGTTTATTTTAAGCTCGTTCATATTCAATTACGAATTCCAAAATTGTGCTGGTGTTTGTTTAATTTCAAATTATACGTTTTTGTGTTTGTTTGTTTAAATTAAATGAATTTTTTCGTCAATATTAAACAAACACGGTGAACGTTAAATGAACGTGCCCATGAACATATGATACAACATGTTTGTGAACAATTAAAATTATGTTTGTGACATATGTATAAATATGCATGTTTTAGATATAGAATATCCAAACATAAATGCTAATAATTATATCATATAATAAATAAAAGAAACACAAAACAATAATATTATTGATTATATAACAATCAAATAATATACAAGTCGTAAATGAGTTATTAAACAGTCTTTAAACGAACATAAAAGAGCATGTTCATGAACATAAATGAACTGAACATGCCTTGTTTGTGTTTGGTTTGTTCAATAAACAAAACAAATCACAAAATCTTGATCATATTTGTTTATTTAGCTTGATAAACAGATAGAAATCAAAATGTTTCTCGAATGTTCTTTTCATCTATGGTCCTATCATGTTCACTTGCTTATTGTGAGGAGTGTGATTGTTTGTTGCCAATAAAAGCTTTTCTAGATGGGTTATATCCTCAGTGTCATGATGTTCATGAGCTGCATTTATGAATGTATATATGTTGTCTTATAGGTTCAAGCAAAGCCTTAATATGAATGCCAAACTTTTCTACCGTCACCGATGAGAAAAAATTCTCTTTCTATTTTCTGCCAATAGTAAAGCATTCTAACTTTAGAGGGAGGTGAAGATAGAGTATAAACTATCTGTTGTTTCAGGTTTCAGAGGCTAAAGAACAAGCTTCAGTACTTGAATCATATATTGAACAAAGGGGAGTTCGTGTACCAAAATGATATTTTTCGTACAAAGCTGTAATTCCGAATCCGGAATTCCAGTATTTACTGAATAACTCCCCCCCTTTTTTAAAGGAAAATCCTTATAAGACTGTACTAAATAGATTTCATTTGCAGTACCTTTTACAAAAATTTTCCATCCGAGGTTATTACTTATGACTAGTGGGTGCAATTAAAACCAGAACCAAAAAGTATTTTTCCTGGATGGATTAAAAGTGCCTTTCGTGGTGGGAAGGAGGAGTTGCAGGAATCTTTTCATGAACAACTAAACTTTTTTCTCAGCACAGCTCCAATGTGGGATAGGTTTTTAACTTAATGTGCCAGTAATTCTGATCATAACTTCATTCACATAGTGGATTATATATAGACGATTTTAGATATTTTGTAATTTTTAATGATAATCTGTTTTTGCCCCTCCCCATAATTTTATAAGTTCATCTCATCCTAAAATTTTAGAAGTTTGACCCTTACATAATATTCTGTGTCCGTCCTTAATATTATCCATATTATTTCGTTTTCGATCTATAATATTGACAATGTACCTTGCTATGTAACACTAAAACTCTGTTGTGCAATTTCATTTTTATTTCTCTTAACTAATTGCATGATTTTCCATCTTTCAGACACTTGTAAATAAAATGATAATGCAAAGAATATCTAACTAAAGAGATTTTGAATTAAGCATTAGGGATTACGTAGGAATTAAGTTATTTTGCAGTCATATAGGAAGATGAAATTATTTGTTATACGAGTGGGTTTCAGATTCTTTTGAATGTTATATTCTGATCATCCGCAATTTAAGCGCTAGAGGATATGTGCAGGATGGAGCTTAAAGATAACAAGTATGTTCTTAGAGATCCTAGGTTCGAGCATCTAAGTTTGCAGTGTTGCAGAAGACGGCTATAAGATAGAGGAAAATCGAAACTGATAATTTGAGAAAATAAAAATGAAGATAAAAGAGACACAAAATTTACGTGGAAAACCCCTGAATAATATAGGGTAAAAACCACGGGCAACAGGTAGAAGAATTTCACTATGAGAAAATAGGAATTATAACTTCTCTCGATCTATCAAGGAGAAAACAATGATAATTCTCTCTTGATAAAAATGAGAAAACAACTCTCAAGAAACTCTCTAAATTCTCTCTAGTATTGGAAGAAAGCTAGAATGCTTTGGGATGATTTTGAAGCTAAATGAGCTAGGGTATTTATAGTTGAAACTTAAGGACTAATTTTATAAATACCCTAAATTACAATGACTAAAATTAATTATCCAATTACCAAATTTCAACAAAAATTAGGTGCTTAATTTTTGTCTTTGACAAAGCACCATTTGGTGCCTAATTTGGTGCCTAAATTATTTGACTTTTAACAATTTCTCACTTGAAGATTTGATTGGAATAATCATATCTTCACACCATTCTTTCTACATTGTACCTTCATGTTGCTTACGTTTCTGACAGGCCACAGGAGGATCGACACCAGGTAAATTTATCAGCATTGATTGTCTTCGTCATGAAATCTGCTATGTTGTCTTTGGTATGGATCTTCTGCATATCTACCGTTCCTTCTTCCACCTTTTCACGAATGAAATGGTACTGAACTCGTATGTGTTTTGTCCTTGAATGAAATGTTGGATTCCTTGCTAAATGCAAGGCGCTTTGATTGTCACAAAACAGAGAGACATACTCTTGATTGTGCCCAATCTCCTCCAATAGCATCTTCAACCAAATTGCTTCTTTACTGACTTGTTTAGCTGCTACATATTCTACCTCTGTTGTGGACGTAGCCACAACTGACTGCAATTTTGAAACCCAGCTTACAGCTCCACCAGCAATTTTGAACACATATCCTGTAGTAGATTTGTTTTTATCCAAATCCCCTGCATAGTCAGAATCGACATACCCATTTATAAGTAAGTTTGATCCTCCGTAATATAATGCAACATTTAAGGTCCCTTTGATGTATCTTAGGATCCTCTTTACAATATTCCAATGCTCTTTGCCTGGATTCGTCATGTACCGACTAACCACTCCCACTGCTTGTGCAATGTCTGGTCTTGTGCATATCATAGCGAACATTAAACTTCCCACTGTTGATGCATACGGTACTCGAGACATCTCCATCCTCTCTTCTTCACTGCTACGACTCATACTGGAGGATAATTTGAAGTTAATAAGAAGAGGGGGTGGAAATTGGCTTACAATCTTGCATGCTAAATCGTGACAATATTTTCTTCAAGTAATTATTTTGTGAAAGCCAAATCTTCATATCACTTCTGTCTCGGTGAATTTGCATCACTAGAATCTTGTTTGCTGATCCCAAGTCCTTCATTTCAAATTCCCTAGCCAGTTGTGCCTTTAATTATTCAATATGATATTTGTTGGGTCCTGCAACCAACATGTCATCTACATACAACAGTAATATAACAAAATCGTTATCACTAGACCTCTTGAAATAAGCACAAGGGTCTGCATTAAGTCTGTTGTATCCAAGGCACATAATGAATGAATCAAATCTCTTATACCAACACTTCGACGCCTGCTTTAGACCGTACAGAGATTTGTTCAACTTGCAAACCAAGTTCTTCTTTTCTTTTTCTTCAAAACCTTCAGGCTGGAGCATATAAATCTCTTCTTCAAGATTTCCATGAAGAAAAGTTGTTTTAACATCTAGTTGCTCTAGATATAAGTTCAATGTAGCACACATTGCCAAGACTACTCGAACTGTTGTTAGTCGAACCACAGGAGAAAAAATTTCATTGAAATCAATACCTTGTTTCTAAGCATATCCTTTGACCACCAGTCTTGCACGATACCTCTCCACTTGATCGTCACCATTTCGCTTGATTTTGAAAACCTATTTTGTTACCAATTGGCTTCATTCCTTGTGGTAGCGGCACAAGGTCCCATGTATTATTTTTATGAAGGGCTTCGATTTCTTCTTGCATTGCCATCATCCATAGTGAAGCATCTGAGCTGTTTATTGCCTCCTGGTATGTTGATGGCTCACCGTCCTCTGTTAAAAGGCAGTATGCAATATTACCTTTTATAACATAATCTGAGTTCCAATTGGGACGTCTTCTCACACGATCTGATTGACGAGTTGTTGGAGCTTCAGAACTCTCTGGTTCTTGTTCATCATGTGTTGGTTATGCTTCAGAAGAATCTCCTTGTTCAAACTCTTTTTCCACATGTATCTGCGTAGTCTCTGACTTTTTAGCGTTACCATTTTCTTCTTTTCTTTGTAGCTTATCTTCTACAAAGATAACATCCCTGCTGATGATCACTTTGCGGGCAGTGGAATCCTACAAGCGATACCCCTTGACTCCATCAGCATACCCCAAGAATTTGCATTTCCTGGATTTTGGATCCAACTTTGAGATTTCTTGGGAGTTATACATCACATACACAATACTTCCAAATATATGGAGGTTTGAATAATCAGCTGGTTTACCAGTCCACATCTCCATTGGTGTCTTTAGCTCTATTGCAGTTGATGGAGCTCGATTCACCAAATAACAAGCGGTATTGACTGCTTCTGCCCAGAATGATTTTTCTAGGCCTGCATCCCTCAACATTGCTCTTGTTCATTCTAACAATGTTATGTTCATCCGCTCTGCCACTCCATTTTGTTGAAGAGTGTTTGCCACTGTGAACTGTCTTTTGATGCCTTCTTTCCTGTAAAAGTCATCAACTTCTTCGCTTGTGTATTCTCCTCCATTATCTGTTCTGAAACACTTGATCTTATTTCTAGAATCAAGTTCCATCCGCACTTTGAAGATTTTGAAAGTTGAAAACACATCTAACTTCTTAATAGGATACACCCAACATCTCCTAGAGTAGTCATCAATAAATGAGACAAAGTATTTTGCTCCACCTAGGGATGTAACTGGTGCTTGCCATACGTCAGAATGAACCAATTCTAGAACATTTTTGCCTCTAGAATTTGACGTGTTGAATTTCAACCGGTGCTGCTTACTTGTTATACAATGCTCACACAAAGGAAGTGATATCTTTGTTAAGCCGGGAAGTAGCTTTTGCTCCACAAAGACTTTCATTCCTTGTTCTGACATGTGTCCAAGTTTCTGATGCCATAGCATCGCAGAATCTGAACTACATGAGGCAACAGAGGCTTCTGCTTCTAGCAAAGTCTCTCCCTTCAGCATGTACAAGTTTGCTGCTATCTTTTAGCCTTTCAGCACCACAAGCGCTCCACGGAACACCTTCATGATTCCTTTCCGTGTTTCAATCTTTCTTGCATTATTATCCAACAATCCATAGGATAATAAATTTTTCTTTAGGCCTTTCACGTGCCGCACATCTCGAACAACTTTAATTGTTCCATCATACATATTCAATTTGATGGTTCCCACGCCAATGATCTCTAAGGCATGATCATTGCAACTATACACATATCCTCCTGAGACAGGTTCATACTGACGGAACCATTCTCTTCTTGAGATCATGTGATATGTTGCTCCTGAATCAATGAGCCATATATCTGCAAATCTTTTTCTTCCTTCTACGGTGGTTGACGCTTCACAGCATAGTGCATATCTATCATCTGAAGTGTTTGATGTATTGCCTTGTAGATTGAAGTTTTTATTTTGACTCCAATAATCCTTCTTCAAGTGACCTTTCTTTCCACAGTTGTAGCACTTTAAATTCTTCTTGCTCCTTGACTTTGATCTACCATGTTTGTGACTGCTGCTTTGGCCACGTTCTGTTGATCTCCCTCTCGTCGTTGTCAACGCTTTTGCTTGTTGCAGATTTACTTGTCTGTTTTCTTTGTTCTTGCGCCGATTTTCTTCTTGTAGAACAGTAGCTGCAACGTCATCGAAGACTAGACTGGTGACGTTATTGTTTGTCAAGTTGATAATAAGTTGATCATACGAATCCGGTAGACTTTGAAGTAGAAGTTCAGCATGTTATTGTTCTACTATTTTATAGCTTAAGGATGTAAGCTGAGAAAATAAAGTGTTCAGTGTGTTTAAGTGTCCCGTCACTAAAGTAGATCCTGACATCCGAAGAGTGTACAATTTCCTCTGAAGGAAAATTTTATTGTGCAATGATGTGGCCTCGTACAATTTGGTGAATAGCTTAAGGATGTAAGCTGAGAAAATAAAGTGTTCAGTGTGTTTAAGTGTCCCGTCACTAAAGTAGATCCTGACATCCGAAGAGTGTACAATTTCCTCTGAAGGAAAATTTTATTGTGCAATGATGTGGCCTCGTACAATTTGGTGAGATGATCCCATATCTCCTTAGCTGTCTTCTTCTCCTCGATACTTAA